TAATTGAGATCAATTAAACTTTAAGACCTTAATTACAAATTTGGTATAAATTTAGGTCCTTATATACCTTCAAATAAACATTTTCATTTACCTTTTTTCCATGGGATACTCACATAGAGTTGACTTTGGCTGAGTCCATACTGCAGCATTGGAAACTGCAATCCACAAAATTAGGAAATGTTTGATTCTCCTGCTAAACGCTATTAAGTTATAACCAGCTTCATTTAAATAACATTTTATTTATCTTGTAGTACTTTGATTCGATTACGTCCTTATTTCCTTTATTATATAACTTGTTTCCTTGATTATATAACTTGTTTCTTGTTAATAGGAAAGCATATTTATAAGCAAAAGTTGAACCATACCTATGCCTCTGAGATTCTGCGTACTTTGTGTTCACATCTATCAAATTTAAAGCATGGTGAAATTGTGCAAAGTGGAGCAGTCCAAGCAATGTTCAATGCAATCAAGAATGGGATTGATGAGTTTGTAAGAGAACTTATCAAAACTAATCCAGATATAATTTGGATGCTTGAAGAAGGAACTTTAAGAGATATATTAATGTGTGCAATTGCATATCGCCAAGAAAAGATTGCCAACTTTATACATGAACAAGTCAAATGGAGGGATGCAACAATTAAATTAGATAAGGACAGAAACAATCTATTGCACATAGCAGGGAAGCAAGCTCCTGATATTCAACTTTCTCGCATCTCTGACGCAGGGCTACAAATGCAGAGAGAACTACAGTGGTTTAAAGTAGCCATTTCTCAATAGTCCATATTCTCTCTCCACACATATAACAGCTGATGCTCAATTATTAATTTCTTATTAAATGCTCCGCATAATAAAAATTTACTTCGATGATAAAAAAAAAAATTTTCTTATTAAATGCTGATAAAAAAAATTCTTACTTAACTTTAGTAAGTTTATATTTGTAGGAGGTGGAAAGCATTGTTCCAGAGTATTATAAGGAATGCAAAAATGACTTCAAGAAAACTCCTGGTGAAGTGTTCTCTGAGGAGCACAAGGATTTGCAAAGAAAAGCAGAGGACTGGATGAAACAGACAGCAGGCTCTTTTACAATTGTAGGCGCCCTTATCATTACCATGATGTTTGCTGCAGCTTTTACCGTTCCTGGTGGTAGTAATAAAGATACGGGTTTTCCAATATTCTCACATGATACACTATTTATCATGTTCGTGATATCAGATGCTGTTTCTCTCTGTACTGCATCCACTTCGGTTTTGGTGTTTTTAGGAGTTCTCACCTCTCGTTATTCTGAAAAAGATTTTCTCATCTCCTTACCAAGAAGGATGATCATCGGGCTTTATACCCTTTTTATATCAATTGCAGTGATGATGATAGCCTTCGCAGCCGGTGTTGCTATTATGCTTGAAGGTCAACTGTGGATAATCCTTGTCATGTCTATACTAACTTGCATTCCAGTTTTCTGCTTTGCATTTCTACAATTTCCGCTTCTTGTTAAGATTTTTAATTCAACTTATCGATGGAAAGTCTTCGAAAAGAAAAGAGATTGAGCATTGGCTGGAGGAGGGATTGTCAGGGGAGGGCAGTTGGTGAGTTGGAAAGGTTGAGGGAAATGATTAATGTGGTGAAATTGAGGGAGGATATGTTGGATTCTTGGAGATGGGTGTATTGTAGTGAAGGTTTTTATTCTGTGAAGGCAACATATGATTTTTTAACACCTGAAGATTATATTCTTGATTGGAAATGGTGTATGATAATTTAGTGCAAGAATATTCCTTCTAAATTAAGTATATTTGGATAGAGGTTATTCCATTCAGCAGTGAAGGAGAATCTTGGTAAAAGAGGAGTTGCTTTGCAGGGTGGGAATGTTGGTTCTGGTTTATTTAATGAGGCTATGGAGGAGCTTAATCATTTATTTAATGATTGCAGAGTGTCTTGGTTAGTTTGGATGAGGGTGATGCTACGGTCGGGGACGTGTACAGGGTGTGGGTGCACTTACATTATTGATAGTTACTTGGTAGCTTTAATTTGGTGTTGGAGGATTTCATAGATGTTTGAGAATGGTTTGATTTCTAAGGACTTATTGTTAGACTCTATACAAGTGAAGTCTATTTTATGAATTAAAAGTAAAGAATCAAATTATATGTTTTTTTTTTTTCACTGAAGAATGGGTATTAAGATTTATGGAGTGTATGGCAGCTACTGCTTAATTCTGAAGATGCTTGAAAGAATGGATGGTGTAGAAGAAAGCCATTGTTCAATATGATTTTTATATATTGGCTTGAGTAGTGAATTTTGTTATTTTGTGGTTTGTTTATCTATAAGTTGGCTGTGTTGAGATTTTTGTAAAGTTTGTTCTCTTTTGTTATGGAATATCTCTTATGCTTTGCATAACATAAATTCATTTGACTTGCTGATAAAAAAAAAAAAAAAAAGATGTTGGTTATGTATGTTGAATTGAGAATTTTGCTCATAAGATACTCCTTTAGCTATATTTTTTTTATTAGCAAACAAATTAAGTTTTATTTTTAGAGAGTATAAGGGTACTCCAATCCTTAATTACTACCACTTTTATATGTTCATAAATTTGACTAGCTGTGATGACAAGTTCATTACGGTGATCGAAACAATTTTGTGTTTGATGCAGCTGCAAAGGAGGTCATTTTTGACCCAAAGCACCAGTTGCCCTAAACACTCAAAGTTATTTGAGAAGTTTTTTTCTAACTTCTTTCCTTTAAAATCTGAGAAGCACTGAAATCGCGACTTTTGTGGACTGCTTCCCTGCTTGTTTAATGAAAATTAACCAAAGTCTCTATTTTACCCTCACAGTTTAACATATTTATAGATGAACCATGTGTATATAAACCTTTATGACAGACTCAGCATAAAGTCCTTAATTTTTCATCTTCGATTTGCGACTTATCAGGAATCCATTTCTTTTGATGCCTCTTTTGATGGAAATATAGGGGAAGTAGGAGTTAGTGTTGTGTGCAGGGATGGTAGAGGAAGCTGTTTTCGATTATTTTTCATATAAACTATTAAATTTTTACAAAAAAAAAAAAATTTGTTTAAAAAGTTAGAAGTCAAACTGTCACGCTTCAAAATCGGGAGCGAAACAGATGCCCTACACTTGTGAGAGAATCCCACAAATGCACAAAACTCGAAACTTGTTAAATTCATAATTAACAATCTACGTAAACTTAGACCAATATCTCCAAATAAAATTTAGTTTACAAAAGAATTATCTATATCTCAAAATCTATATCCAAAATACAAATGGCTAGCTTTCTAGCTCGTCACTCCCTTTGGTTTTCCATGTCTTGAGTCTCACTACTTGAAATGGTGGTTGAGAAAAAACCATATGTACAAGTATGGGAATAAATAGACATCTCCTTTATAGGTCATAACCAGAGTTTATAAACCTCCCATTGGCGAGCACAGTAATAGCCACTATACTATCCCATTGGTAAGAATAACCTGACAAATCGGTTTCTAGGAAGACATGTCAACATGTGCTAGCATTTATAAACCTCTCAGTAGCGAGCACAATCTTTTGTCTACTCTAGTGAAGAAAATGCGAAAAGCCAGCTATGATGGTGCATTTAATATTCAACAATCAAATTTTTCAAAGATTTTTTTAATATTTTCAACTCAAGTTTCCTAGGTTAGCTTTGTGTTTTGTAGTTGGCTCAATAGAAAAACAGCAAGTGCAGATGGAATAAGATAGCTAGTTTTGGATATGATAGTTGGCTTTACATAGCCGGCTCTAAATATAACACCCTATATACTTTAATGAATAAATTAAAAATTAGAGTTTTTTATTTTAACATTTTAAGGATTAAATTGATTAGAATTAGAATATGTGGACCTTATGTGAAATTTTGAGATAGTTAGAGACTATCAAACTTATTTAGCCAAAATTTGAGACGTGGCAATTTGGCATTAAGTCACCAGAGGCTTCTCTAGAAGATTTTAGAAAAGCAAAATCCCTTTCTCCTTTTTTTGTCTTAAGCTTCCCGAAACCCAAACCCACCATTTTCTCTACATCCTTCCCCTTTATTTCTAGCTGGTCCTCTGCACCTTTTCCTCCTTTGACTACCGATTGGAATGTGTGGGACGCACTTTCCAATGAAATCTCTTTCAATTTTTGCTGGTTGTTTGAGTTTGGTGTTTTGATTTCCAAAGGTAAGTATAAGTTTTAAGTTATGAATTTGGGATTAAAGTTTTTGGGTAAGTATGAGTTTTGATTATAAATTTGAGGTAGAGTTTTTTTGGGTAGATTATAGATTTGTTTCAATAAACTAAAAATTAGTTTAAATTAGTGAAATTTGACCCCAAAGCTTTAGTTTAATAGATCTTTGGGTATTAAGATTTTGTTAAGAACATGTCAATTTTTGGGACTTATATAGGAAAGAACAATGAATTATTCCTTTTTTTTATGTTTTATTTATTGTGAATTTTATGGATTAAAGGACCTTGTTGGAATTGTTCACGGGTTACTATCATGGATTACTGTTTACGAATACTATTCACGCACTAATTATCATTCATGCAGTGTACTTCAATTTTTTCAATATGAAGTTCTATGGAATATGTGAGTTGTGTATGTGGATATTAGTATGAATTTGAACTATCCATGCGACTGATCAATGGGAACATTAAATGGGATAATATTCTAATATTATTTTGAACGTGTTCTAAACTTGTTTGACATGTGTATGTGCTTGTGGCTATGGAGTAAGTGGATCTAAGCTTAAGGTTTGGGTTATTCAGTGGATCCTTCCAAGATATTTAGTGGACCTCTGCGCAATAAAGTTAATACTGTGATTAGCTCCAGTAGAGTGTTGCTAGCACACATTAGTGAACTCTATAGCATTGTATGATTTTCGGTTTTTATGCATTGTGCTTGTGACATCGTATTTGTGAGCATATGATTTTATTATATGAATTTGATTTAAATGTCATTGATTATTCCTTAACATGTTTGATTATTTGTGATATTAAATTGTTATTTAAATATTGAGGTTTATAATATTATGTGGTTTGGTTTTGTTGTATCTCATGCTCTTTGTGTGTATAGGTTTAGGGGTCTTAGGACCCACGTTTATAGCTTAAACTTAATACTTACTAGGCTTTTAGCTCATAAAACTCCCCTTCCCCCATTTCAGATTAGTAGATTGGAGTAGCAGCCACTCAGCTTGAGAGCTTTCGATATAAATCTCGTATGCCGACCTCAGTGCTTTTGATGTGAAGGCGGATTAATGTATCACCAAAACGACAATTTGCTTTTATCATTTTAGAAAGTATTTTGAAAAAGCAATTGCTTTCATGTATTTCTATGTATAAGTTATTTTTATGTATATGACATTAAGATTCATTTAAATGGGCATAGCCTAGCTTATTTTATAACTTTGAGTATTTCGATATTTTTCTTAAGTTATTTTTCATTGAAATAGTTTTCCCTTGCAGATGAAAGATTTTCCTTCTATAAAACTTTAAATTATTTTGAAAGTAGATTTTTGCTTAAAAAGAAACATTTTATATTAGAAGGGTTTTTACTTCTGCTGCAATCTTTTTTTATAGATAATTCCTACTGTTTTTTTTTTTTATTTTTTATCTTGAGGAGTACATTTCCCTACTTGGTAAACCAAGAGGTTTATCCAAAAAGGGGATATTACATTGAAGATATAGCCGGCTATACTAGAAAAGTCTACAATGTGTTTTCTCGAACTTAAACTGTTTTGCAAAACATTAAATGAACCCTAACAGCTAGATACTGCTATTTTCAACCAAGGGGTTATAAATATGATTGGTAAAAGTCTTGAAATAAGTTTTAGACATTTTTCATTGTATATCTTGCATCTAGCAATTTGTGATTCTTGTGCTTTAACTTGAGATTTTGATTAGCAAGTGATCTTTACTTGCAATCCTCTTCTTATTTTCTTTGAGAGTTATCTTAGGGGTGTGACTATTCCTTCAAGAGTGATTTATAGTAAGGATTGTTGGGTTTGTCTGGTAAAAAGGTGAGATTTGTGAGAAAATCCATCTTCTTGTAAAGGAATTGAGTGGCTCCTTGAAGCCATCCTTGTTCTTATAAGTGGAGAGTGTGGAGGAAATTCTTAGTGAGTAAAGCAAAGGTAAAGGACTAGGTGCCAAATTGTTGGACCAAATCTTTATAAAATCTTTGTGAAAGCTTCTCTTCTCTACTTTCTTTGATTTTTGCTTTGTGATTGCAAAAAGGAAGAAATTTTTGAAACTTCAATTCACCCATCTCTTGGAGTGCATTGAGTCAACAATTGGTATCAGAGCAAGGGTTCAAATCAAGAAGGCTTAACAACCTTGGAGTGGTTAGGATGACTCATTTTCAAGTTTACCCCACCATGGAAGGTTTGCCTACTACCAAGAGTCCTTTCTTTAATGGTACAAACTATAATTATTAGAAGAATAGAATGAGAGTCTTCATGCTTGCTAGTGAGCCAAAAGCTTGGCTTGTCACTATGAATGGACCATATGTTCTTATAAAGAACGTTGGAGAAATTGAAATGCATAAAAGTGAATATGAATGGGAAAATGATGACTTGGAGAAGATCAAGATCAACAACAAGGCCATCAACATGCTTCAATGTGCTCTCAATCTAATGGAATTCAATAGAACCTTTGGATGTGAAATAGCTAAGGAGATTTGGGACATGTTGGAGACTACTCATGAAGGCAACAACCAAGTGAAGGAATCCAAAATCAATAGATTCATTCACATGTATAAACTTTTCAAGATGAAACCGACTGAATGCATTGCCGACATGTATGCAAGGTTCAATAAAACCATCACCAACCTTAAAGCTTTTAGGAAGGCATATTTAACAAGTGAATTGGTGAGTAAAGTTCTTAGATGTCTACCAAAGAGTTGGGAAGCAAAGAAGACGGCCATTGAAGAAGCCAAGGATCTCAACTTATTAAACCTTGATGAGCTTATTAGGTCTTTGATGACTCATGAGATTGATTTGATAGGTGATGAAAAAGTTGTTAAGAGAACAAAGAATCTAGCTTTCAAAGCCAATGAAAGTGATGATGAGTCTAATAATGAAGAGGATATCACTAAATTGGTTTCAAGGAAAGTGAAGAAATATATGAGGAAGAGCCTCAAAAGGAAATCCTCTAAAAGAAATGAGGAAATTCACTACTTTAGAAGAAGAGTATGTAGTGATGATAATGATAAAGAAAAGCCAAGCAAGAAGCATATCAAATGCTATGAGTGCATTGAGATGGGATACTATAGAGATGAATGCCTCAAATTGAAGAAAGGTAAGAAAAAGAAAGCATTTGTTGCCACATAAAGGAATGATGAATGTAGCTCATCCAGGAATGAAGGCTCCTTGGAAGATGATGTGGCCAATCCTTACTTTGTAGCTCAAGGGGATAGCTTCTTTGGTGAAAAGGTAAACTCTAACCCTTCAAGTTCATTATAATAGCTCTTATGATTATTCTTATGATGAGTTGCATAGAGTATTTGATTTCTACATTAATGATATTAAGAGACTAGGGAATGAGCATCTTATTCTTATTAAATGTATTTCTTTACTTAAAGATGAGCTTGAATCTATTTCAAAACAAAATGAGAATTTATTATAAGAAAATGCATCTTTGAGTATTGAGATTGTCTCGTTGAAAGATGAGTTTTCTAATGATGTTTTGAAAAAGGAAAATGAGGATTTGAAAAAGGAAAATGAGGACTTAAAAAAGAAAGTCAGATATTTTGAGAAAGTGATTTCTAAATTCATTTTGAGTAAGGAAAAAAATTAATTTATCTTAAGTTCTCAAAAAAAGTGTTTTTGACAAAGGGATCATTGGATTTGATTGTTCTAAAAAGAAAAAGAACTTCAAAAACTTCTCTATAAAAGTTAGTCAATTCTTAAATCCAAAAGAAACTTGTTATTTTTGTGGAGGAAAAGGACGTTACACATGTGTCCTTTGAAGAAATTAATAGTTCAAGGCAACGTGAGGCAAATTTGGGTTCTAAAATGAACTTTAAGCACTAACTCCTAAGGGCCCAAGCAAATTTGGGTACCAAAAATCAAAACTTGGTTTTGTTTTGTAGGTAAAGTTGATGGAAAGGTCATAAGAAAAGCAAAGTTGATCTTGATAAAGACTTATGCCTCAACAAGAATATTGTGTGGAAGTGCAAAGAAAAATTTGTTTTTGAATGCTCCACTCATGTGCTCAAATTCTTAACATTTATTGTAATGCATTTAGTCATTGAGTATAATTACATTAATACGATTATTAATTATTTGTTCATGTGTGCTCATTCTTTGATGTGCATTTCTAGTGTTGATATAACCTTGTTGATTGTTATATATATTACTCTTATCGTATTTACATGCTTAACATATGTGAATGATTAGACTAGTTATTTATAATATAAAGTTTATGATGAGTTCTTGATGATATAAATGATTTTCAATGTCATATATGTCATGTTGATGATAGTTGATGACTTAATTTAATTGAGTAATTTTAATAACTTGTCTCACTTTACATGGTTTCTCACATTCTCATTCATTTGTCTTGTTGTTTTCACGATTTTGATGATAGCACTTAAAAGTTGATCATGACCTTAGGGAGAGTCTTACATTTAGAGGTTAAGTATATTAGGAAATTGGTATATTTGCTTTTTGATGAATGATTCTAATAATATTTCATTACGTGCAAGTGTATGACATGCACTTGAATGCTTGCATAGTCATGATTGATTTCAATGAATACACTTATTGATATTTACTAATATATGCTATGGTGCATGTAAAAAAGATAAATAATGTTGAATTTATTCATGTGATATTCAATGAGACTAACCCACATTTACTTTTGGAAAGAGTTGTGAAATTGTGATGTAAGCATTATTAGGCAACAAGGGTAAGAATTGACATTAAAAGCACTAACATCACACAACCTCCACATGAAGCGAGTGAGAAGAACAAAATTGAGGAGATGTAACAAGCACAAAAAGAAAGAATATAATTCTACCCAAAAGAGAGATTCTATAAAGGGAACATATGAAGGAGATGCACAAAAAGTTTGAAATGTAGAAAGAAAAGTCAGTGGTTTCTTTAATGAGATATTCAATTATTCTAACAACAATGGAAGTCAATTTATAAATCTCAAACTCTTTATGAGCATGATGGATATATATATATATATATATATTGCTTTTTCTTGAGTGCACATCACATTTGTGCTATTTCATTTATCTTTATTGATTTTTTTGACTTAAATCATAAATGATTATATATTCTTGGTATGATTTTGATGATGTAGTTATGTAAGTATATTCATGCTTCCATGAGTTATGCTTCCATGAGTTGTTTCATTAAAGGGGAGCTCTTTTGTTTGCTCCTTAAGTGGTTATCAAACTTTTTTGTTGCATTACAAAAAAGGGAGAAAAAATCTTTTAATCTTTATAATTGCTTGGAATGGGATATCTTCGCTTACTGGGAAGTGTATTTAATTTTGCTCAATTAAAATACATTTCCTTGAAATGGTTTCACATGCTAGCTTGCTTGAATGATATCTTTAGAATGGTTCTACATGCTAGCTTGAGTTAATTTGATATGATATGTTTTCGATGTGCTTATTAAGTTGATTCATGTAATTTCTTTTTGGAGTATAAGTGTGTATTTAGAGGGAGTTTGAACTCTCCAAGTTTGATTTTGGTATGCACATGTTTAGAAGGAGTATAATTTTATTTGAAGATGAATATCACTTTCTTGTGCTATAGTTGATAGATTTATGTATTTGAAGTCCCTTTTTATGTTGACAAGAGAAGGAGAGAATTAAATGAATTGCATATTGTACATGGACTATATAAGTTATGATGATATGCACATGGAGATTGATTCTAAGCTCATTGATTTTATATGCTTTTTAATAAATGACAAAAAAGGGGAGAAAGTTTGCTAAATTTATATGTTCGACTATTATTTTTGGATTATTTATGTGTAGAAATTTCTAGTTACTCTTGGGCCATTTATGTGCTGAAATTTTTGCTTGGATTATGTTATTATGCTTGCTTGGCTTGAAACTTGACTCTTTGTATGAACTTCGTGTTTGAAAGTTTAAAATGCTTTGGCATTTGATGTTTAACCTTGTCAAGCAATATAAGCAAAAACTTAAGGGGAGTATATGTACTTTTATTAATTTATTCTCAAAAAGTTTTGTCATCATCAAAAAGGAGATTATTGTACTTATAATTTTGATATTTATAAAACACAATTGAATTACTAATTTATTTATTTAAATGCATAATTTATTACCTAAAGCTAGCAAGAGTGAATGAAGTTGAACTGCATTGAAAACGAATTAACATGCTGCAATTGACGTAGAAAGTTGATTATGATTTTCTACAACCAGCTCTGGAGAAATCCAAAAAACATGATGAAATGCATAGAGTGAACTCTACAATTCTGCAGTCAACTCTACTGAAGAAAATTACATAAAACCGACTATGACTTTGCAACCAGTTATGATGGCCTATTAATGTTCAACGGTCAAATTTTTCAAAACTTTTTTTTTTATAATGTTTTCAACTTAGGTTTCCTAAGTCACCTTTGTGTTTTGCAACTAGCTTAACAAAAAATAGGAAGTGCAAACTGAGCAGGATAGTTGGCTCTATTTATGATAGCCGACTGTGGATAGTCAGCTCTAAAGGTATAGTCGACCCTACTAGAAAATCTATAGCATGTTTTCTTGGACTTAAACTGGTTTGTAGGACATCAAATGAACCCCAATGACTAGAAATGACTATTTTTGAACAAGGGGTATAAATATAATTGGTAGAAGTCTTGAAACAAATTTTAGACATTTTTCATTGTAAATCTTTCATCTATTAATTTGTGATTCTTATGCTTTAACTTGAAATTTTGATCATTGACTGATCTTTACTTATAATTCTCTATATGTTTTCTATGAGAGTTATCTTGGGGATGTGATTATTTCTTTAAAAGTGATTTATAGTAAAGATTGTTGTGTTTGTCTTGTAAAGAGATGAGATTTGTGAGAAAACCCATCTTCCTATAAAGGAATTGAGTGACACTTTTAACCCACCCTTATTCTTGTTAATAGAGAGTGTGGAAAAAATCCTTGTTGAGTAAAGCTAAAGTAGAGGACTAAGTGCCAAATGGTTGGATTCAACCTCTATAAAATTTTTGTGCAAGCTTCTCTTCTCTATGCTCTTTGATTTTTACTTTATGGTTGTAGAAGGGTAGAAATTATTGAAACACAAATTCACTCCAGTCTTGGGGTACATTGAACCAACATTTACTAGGCAAGTTTTTATTGTAAAAGTGGTTGATTGAAAAATATT